TGAGCTACCGAGAGACAGTTGTCGAGCTCTAACCAACTGAGATATAGAGAGGCAGTTGTCCAGCTTTAACCAACTGAGCTACAGAGAGACAGTTGTCGAGCTCTAACCAACTGAGATATAGAGAGGCAGTTGTCCAGCTTTAACCAACTGAGCTACAGAAAGACAGTTGTCGAGCTCTAACAACTGAGATACAGAGAGGCTGTTACCCAGTAGAAAACGAGCACTGCATGTAATGCTGTATAGAAACTTTAGACATGTTGTTTCAGAGGTTAATATACTAATGCATTTTTTTCAAGGATAAAAATAAATAGTGATGGCTCACAGTAGACTAAGTGATCCAGAATATAGAAACTGGGTTACTGTTGGTCGAGCAATCCAGATTACCCGGAACGGCTTAGAAACCATAATTCAAAATGCTGCTGACAAGTACCACACATTACTGCTTGCAAATTTGCCAAATAATGTACCTACGTGGGAATCTCGCTTGAAGAATGACCATCGATCACGTGATAAAGGAAAAATATCCTGGAGCAACAGTGACGACACTCAGTGGTTGACCTTTGGTGCCTCATGGGAGATTGATAAGATTTTCATGGCTCCCTTGGGACCGAGAAAGCTTGATGTAGTCAACGCCAAAACTACTGATATATCGGGACTGCTGAATGTATTAGAATGGTCTCCGAGAGGGACAAATGGTTTGTTCAACACAGGTGTCGATCTTTCGAAAATAGCAGCGGCAAGAAGTGCTAGGAATCTTTGGGCGCATGCACCGTTGCTGTATGTAAGTAATGCTGACAAAGTCGACGTGTTTGCATCTTTAACCTCGCTTCTTCAAGACCCAGAACTAAACGGTGACAAAGATGTCCAAGACGCCATAAAAGAGCTCAGTAGTTTGTTCCACACTGGTCTAGCGGTTATTGAAGAAAAAGAATTGGAAGTAATCGCATTTGCATTGAAAATGCAAAATTCAATGTTATGACTATGAGAAGCGAGTCCGGTATTGTGTAACTACTGCAATAATTATGATCCGGTATTGTGTCCGGCACATGCATTTGAAGGCCTGTTGCAGGATAAAATTTTATTACTGAAACAATTATCCCACAACAGATTCTGCACAGTTAGCTTGATCTACATACAGTACACATTGGAAACATTAATATGGAAATATTTTTTCTTACTGTATTAACAACTTCTCAGCATCTTCTCCCTGTCTTATCACATCCCCGCAAAGGAATTCAAAATCATCAGGTGACATTTCGTACCTTGTTGTCTCACTCTCTAGGA